GTCTATAGTTCATCTACTGCATGACACAGAATCATAATTGTTTATTTACCCTTCTATCTGGCAACAAAACTGACACCATTTTACAAGGAGTCATGTTTGCATAGACCACAATACCTGCAGTCGTAATACAAACAAAACACACAACTCTGATCATGTTAATTGATAATTGCGCCTTTTGGCGTCATCTGGTCCAACCCATATGAGACTAGGCTCGAAGGAAAGCTGTCTCGGGTGTGGACCAATCAACTTCAAGGACAGTGCACATTATCAGAGTTATGTTCTTTTGTTTGTATTATGACTGCTGGTATTGCGGTCTATGCAAACATGACTCCTTGTAAAAAGGTGTCAGTTTTGTTGCCAGATAGAAGGGTAAAAAACCAATTATCATATGTGGTAGTCTGATCATGTTATGCACTTTCCTTGAAAACGTCACCGCACACCCCGTCAAGAGCTTACGTAGTGACGTCACCACGTATCAACTTGAGCTCTTAACGTCACCAAACACTCCCCCGCATTTTCTTGGTTCTTTCGGTAAAGTCACGGAGAATGGAAATGAAAAAATAATAAATATAAAACATAATGTTAATTTATTATGTGATATTTGTATTTATTTATGGGATTAATAAAATAATATTTTAACATAATACAATTATGTTTTATTTTTGTTTTTAATAATAAATAATAAAAATTTACATAATACAATTATGTTTTTTCTTTCCATTCTACGCGACTTTACCGAAAGAACCAAGACGATTAAGAGATGAATCCCTGCAGTCACGAAAGTTTTAAATCGATATCCCCCCCCCGCATTCTCAAGAGATTCCGTAGTGACGTCACTTCACCCCGTCACCCCCCCCCTCAAGCCAATGAGCGAGCCGCGTGACGTCACTTCATCACCCGTCACCCCCCCCTCAAGCCAATGAGCGAGTCACGTGACGTCACTTCATCACCCGTCACCCCCCCCTCAAGCCAGTGAGCGAGCCACGTGACGTCACTTCATCACCCGTCACCCCCCCCTCAAGCCAATGAGCGAGCTACGTGACGTCACTTCATCACCCGTCACCCCCCCCCCTCCAAGCCAATGATCGAAGCCACGTACGTCACTCTTCATCACTGCCTCACCCCCCCCGTCAAGCCAATGAGCGAGTCACGTGACGTCAACTTCTCACCCGTCCCCCCCCCCCCCCTCAAGCCAATGATCGAGTCAAGGATCGTCAATTTCATCACCCCGTCACCCCCCCCCTCAAGCCAATGAGCGAGTCACGGACGTCACTTCATCACACTCCCCCCCCCCCCTCAAGCCAATGACGAGCCCACTGACTTCCACTTCATCACCCGTCATCGACCCCCCACCCCTCAGCCATGAGCGAGCACGGGGACGTCACTTCATCACACCGTCAAACCCCCCCCCCTCAGCCAATGACGATTCAAGTGACGTCACTTCATCCGCACGTCACCCCCCCCCTCCAAGCCATATGAGAGCGAGTCACGTGACGTCACTTCATCACCCGTCACCCCCCCCCTCAAGCCAATGAGCGAGCCACGTGACGTCACTTCATCACCCGTCACCCCCCCCCTCAAGCCAATGAGCGAGCACGCGTGACGTCACTTCATCACGTCCCCCCCCTCAAGCCAATGAGCGAGTCACGTGACGTCACTTCATCACCCGTCACCCCCCCCTCAAGCCAATGAGCGAGCCACGTGACGTCACTTCATCACCCGTCACCCCCCCCTCAAGCCAATGAGCGAGTCACGTGACGTCACTTCATCACCCGTCACCCCCCCCTCAAGCCAATGAGCGAGCCACGTGACGTCACTTCATCACCCGTCACCCCCCCCTCAAGCCAATGAGCGAGCCACGTGACGTCACTTCATCACCCGTCACCCCCCCCTCAAGCCAATGAGCGAGCCACGTGACGTCACTTCATCACCCGTCACCCCCCCTCAAGCCAATGAGCGAGCCACGTGACGTCACTTCATCACCCGTCACCCCCCTCAAGCCAATGAGCGAGCCACGTGACGTCACTTCATCACCCGTCACCCCCCCCCCTCAAGCCCAATGAGCGAGCCACGTGACGTCACTTCATCACCCGTCCCCCCCCCCTCAACGCCAAGAGCGAGTCCCGTGACGTCACTTCATCACCCGTCACCCCCCCCCTCAAGCCAATGAGCGAGCCACGTGACGTCACTTCATCACCCGTCACCCCCCCCCTCAAGCCCAATGAGCGAGGTCACGTGACGTCACTTCATCACCCGTCACCCCCCCCCTCAAGGCCAATGAGCGAGCCACGTGACGTCACTTCATCACCCGTCACCCCCCCCTCAAGCCAATGAGCGAGTCACGTGACGTCACTTCATCACCCGTCACCCCCACCCCTCAAGCCAATGAGCGAGCCACGTGACGTCACTTCATCACCCGTCACCCACCCCTCAAGCCAATGAGCGAGTCACGTGACGTCACTCATCACCCGTCCACCCCCCCCCTCAAGCCAATGAGCGAGCCACGTGACGTCACTTCATCACCCGTCACCCCCCCCTCAAGCCAATGAGCGAGCCACGTGACGTCACTTCATCACCCGTCACCCCCCCCCTCAAGCCAATGAGCGAGCCACGTGACGTCACTTCATCACCCGTCACCCCCCCCTCAAGCCAATGAGCGAGTCACGTGACGTCACTTCATCACCCGTCACCCCCCCCCCTCAAGCCAATGAGCGAGCCACGTGACGTCACTTCATCACCCGTCACCCCCCCCCTCAAGCCAATGAGCGAGCCACGTGACGGTCACTTCATCACCCGTCACCCCCCCCTCAAGCCAATGAGCGAGCCACGTGACGTCACTTCATCACCCGTCACCCCCCCCCCTCAAGCCAATGAGCGAGCCACGTGACAGCGATAAAGAGCGAGGCGGGGCGATGGGGCGCACAGCGGGAGGGAGGAGAGTTGGATGGTGAAGAAGAAGATGACGACGATGAAGATGACGACGACGATGCTGATGACGATGACGTTGATGACGATGATGATGGTGGTGGTGGTGGCGTTGTTTATGTTGTTGCCTGGCGGCCTCTGCTTCTCGGTCTCGCCGCCTTGGCAGGAGAACGGCGCAGCGGGTTCCAGCAGAGCAGCAGCAGCAGGAGGCGAGTGATGTTGAAGTCTAACCACTCGCCCTCACCACTCACCTCACCACTCGCCCTGGTGGGGAGGGTGGGAGGGCTGGGTTGGGAGGGTGGGGAGGGGCTGGGTGGGGGAGGGTGGGGAGGGGCTGGGTGGGGAGGGGTGGGGAGGGGCTGGGTGGGGAGGGGTGGGGAGGGACTGGGTGGGGAGGGTGGGGAGGGCTGGGTGGGGAGGGTGGGGAGGGGATGGGTGGGGAGGGGTGGGGAGGGGCTGGGTGGGGGAGGGTGGGGAGGGACTGGGTGGGGGAGGGTTGTGGAGGGGCTGGGTGGGAGGGGTGGGGAGGGTGGGCTGGGGAGGGTGGGGAGGGTGGGTGAGCGGGTGGGAGGGGCTGGGTGGCGGAGGGTGGGGAGGGTCTGGGCTGGGGAGGGTGGGGAGGGGAGGCGTGGGAGAGGGTGGGAGGGGCTGGGTTGGAGGGTGGGGCAGGGGCTGGAGTGGGGAGGGTTTGGGGAGGGGCTGGTAACCCCGTGGTGCCCTTATAAAACTCAACGTTTCACCTACTCACGCCGGCTTGTGCCCGCCCTCACAGTTCGGGCCTATTTGCGGAATACACCACGTTGCCTGGCCGTGACCCTGCAGGCCATTGACCGAGCAACCCGACGTTCCTACCAGCTCCCTCCGCAGGAACAATGTGTTACCTGGTGGGCAGTGGGAGACCTGGTGTTTACCCTACACCGTAATATTCCGAATCGACTCGTGTGGGGGGGGGGGGGGGTGGGGGGATTCATTGTAATTGTTACAGGACACCACTGATTGTGGAGCGCTTTGTCCTGTTGCTTGTTAAGTTTGTGTGTTGTAGCTACCCGGGCACGCTTTCTTTACCCGGACTGCTAGAGAGAGATGTGGATGTCAGGGCGGTGCACTACCCTGCCGCTGAATGTATTTGTGCTGTTCGTACTATTATTCACAGCTAACTGGAAGGTTTTCATGATGATGGCATTTTGCTTGTAATTTCATTCATCTTTCAAGAAGCTTTTTTCACCACTTATTTATTAACGTCCCTAAACAGAGGGTTGTTGTTGTTGTTGTTTTCACCACGCCTACGGTGGTTTAAATGTTTTTGTTTTCACATCGTTGGAATTGTAAGGCTCCCGCTTTTGCTTTTTGTTAGGACCCAGCGCGGTCGTGGGAGTCCAATCTTCGTGCTAATTGAAAGTGCACAGTCACTAATTGAAGGCGTCTCCTTAACAAAACAAGTTGAGCCCCCCCCTCCCCACACACACACAACTGCAGCAAGAGTCATTGACTAACTTGTATTTTTCACCCCCTGGATTATTCTCATCGTTTTCATGTTGCAGTGGTTTCTGACGTTTCTCCCAATTACCACGACTCACGGTGACACCCCCCCTCCGCCCGTCACCTCCACAATCCCAACCCGACCCACAGCCCCCTCCGCACCCCCACAAAACATCGTGTGCGTGGCCCTCAGCTCCAGCAGCCTGCTGGTCAGCTGGGAGCCGCCACCCGCACACGACGGCGGCAGCAGCAGCAGCAGCATCACGGGGTACACGGTCGCATACAGGGAGCTGCCCAGCCAAGGCGCAGACGCAGCAGACGACCAACAAGGGGACACACTAGCTGACGCACTAGGGGACACACTAGCTGACGCACCAGCTGACGCACTATGGGACGTACTAGCTGACGAACCAGCTGACACACTAGCTGACGCACTAGCTGACGAACCAGCTGACGCACTTGCTGATGAACCAGCTGACGCACTAGCTGACGAACCAGCTGACGCACTTGCTGATGAACCAGCTGACACACTAGCTGACGCACTTGCTGACGAACCAGCTGACACACCAGCTGACGCACTAGGGGACGCACTAGCGGACGAACCAGCTGACAAACTAGCTGACGCACTATGGGACGCACTAGCTGACGCACTAGCTGACAAACCAGCTGACACACTAGCTGACGCACTCGTGGACACACTAGCTGACGCACTATGGGACGTACTAGCTGACGAACCAGCTGACACACTAGCTGACGAACCAGCTGACGCACCAGCTGACGCACCAGCTGACGCACCAGCTGACGCACTATGGGACGTACTAGCTGACGCACTAGCCGACGCACCAGCCGACGAATCAGCTGACGCACCAGCTGACGCACCAGCTGACGCACTAGCTGACAAACCAGCTGACGCACTAGCTGACAAACCAGCTGACGAACCAGCTGACGCACCAGCTGACGCACTATGGGACGTACTAGCTGACGCACTAGCCGACGCACCAGCCGACGCACCAGCTGACGCACTATGGGACGTACTAGCTGACGCACTAGCCGACGCACCAGCCGACGAATCAGCTGACGCACCAGCTGACGCACCAGCTGACGCACTAGCTGACAAACCAGCTGACGCACTAGCTGACAAACCAGCTGACGAACCAGCTGACGCACCAGCTGACGCACTATGGGACGCACTAGCTGACGCACTAGCTGACGCACTAGCTGACGAACTAGCTGACGAACCAGCCGACGCACCAGCCGACGCACCAGCCGACGCACCAGCTCACGCACCAGCCTGACGCACCAGGGGACGAAGCGAACGTCACGGGCGGGCGGCCGAGCGGGGGAAGGGGTGGCTGGTGCCGGACGCCGCGGCAGCCCGCGGACGTGAGGAGCGTGACGCTGAGCGGGCTGCTGCCCGAGGGGGCCCTGTACGAGGTGACGGTGCGGGCCCACACGGCGGTTGGCCCGGGGCTCTCGTCACTGCCCGTCCAGGCGCGCGCACACCACCACGGTACGTCAAGGGGGGGGGGGGGCGCCGCTGTGTTCCACGCCGTGGCCGTGCCGGCCGGACCGACACCCTGACGTGGCTCTTGAGTGTTTCCCCTCCTGGTGGTGGTGCCTCTGCAGCTACTGCTGACGGCTGTGTCTGGCCAGAGTCCTCCTCCTCCTCCTCTCTCGGCTTTCTGCGCTGCGGCTCTCGCGCGCCAGTTCTCCGCGGCGCTGCTCCACGCCGCTGCGCTGAGCCGCTTTGCGGGTTCCGTTTGTGTGTCTGTGTCTGTCTGTGTGGTTGTCTGTCTGTGTGGTTGTCTGTGTGTGTGTGTGGTTGTCTGTGTGTGTGTCTGTGTGTCTGTGTGTGTGTGTGTGGTTGTCTGTGTGTGTGTCTGTGTGTCTGTGTGTGTGTGTGGTTGTCTCTGTGTGTGTGTGGTTGTCTCTGTGTGTGTGTGGTTGTCTGTGTGTGGTTGTCTGTGTGTGTGTGTGTGGTTGTCTGTGTGTGTGTGTGTGGTTGTCTGTGTGTGTGTGGTTGTGTGTGTGTGGTTGTCTGTGTGTGTGTGTGGTTGTCTGTGTGTGTGTGTATGTGGTTGTGTGTGGTTGTCTGTGTGTGGTTGTCTGTCTGTGTGTGTGTGGTTGTCTGTGTGTGTGTAACGGGGAGTGGTGGTGTCGCGGTTTCCCCGTGTCTCCCCAATCCCGTAGCTGCCACCACGCTGCCCACCTCTCGTGGCTCCTCCCCACACTCGTCCGTGATGTCTACGGGAGACGAGCCGACGTTCCGCGCCAGCGGCATCAGCGCCTCCTCCATCGGCTTCCTGTGCGTGGTGGTGGTGATTGCGCTGCCTTCCGTGGTGGGGTGCCTCGTGTGGGGCCGACAGAGCGCCTCCAAGCGTCCCGGTGAGTGGCGGGGGCATTGCGGTGCCTACGCAACGTTGACTCCCTCGCCCGGTCCGCGGGAGGTCAAGGGTTCTATCCCGACCCTTGCGCTGCCCGCTGCTGTTTGCGTCTCTCTCCCCGTGGATTTCTCTCGGGGCCCTGCGGTCCCCCCCACCCCCCCTCCACGTTCGGAATCGACGTCTCCACGCGTTCAGAGTCATTTGGTTGCTGCTGCTGCTGCTGATGCTGCTGATGCTGCTGATGCTGATGCTGCTGATGCTGTTGCTGCTGATGCTGTTGCTGCTGCTGTTGTTGCTGCTGATGTTGTTGCTGCTGATGCTGTTGCTGCTGCTGCTGTTGTTGTTGCTGCTGCTGCTGTTGTTGTTGCTGCTGATGCTGTTGTTGTTGCTGCTGATGCTGTTGCTGATGCTGTTGCTGCTGATGTTGTTGCTGTTGCTGATGCTGTTGCTGCTGATGCTGTTGCTGCTGCTGTTGTTGTTGTTGCTGATGCTGTTGCTGCTGATGCTGCTGATGCTGTTGCTGCTGCTGTTGTTGTTGCTGCTGATGCTGTTGCTGCTGCTGCTGCTATACATTTGCCACCCGACGACGATGACGACAATAAGCCACCGAGTGGAGCTGTCACTTGTGATAGCCGGTGAAGCTTCTACAAAACAAGTTGTGACACAGCCACTTAGTCAGGCTTAGTGACACGTAGACAGAACGTGCCAACGACTTACTAGTTGATAGTGTGCAGCGTAGTGCATAGTGTAGTGTATATAGTAGTGTAGTGTATACTAGTGTGTTGTGTAGTGTATACTAGTGTAGTGTGTAGTGTAGTGTATACTAGTGTAGTGTGTAGTGTAGTGTATACTAGTGTGTTGTGTAGTGTATACTAGTGTAGTGTGTAGTGTATACTAGTGTAGTGTGTAGTGTATATTGTAGTGTATACTAGTGTAGTGTGTCGTGTAGTGTATACTAGTGTAGTGTGTAGTGTATATTGTAGTGTGTCGTGTAGTGTATACTAGTGTAGTGTGTAGTGTATATTGTAGTGTATACTAGTGTAGTGTGTAGTGTATATAGTAGTGTAGTGTATACTAGTGTAGTGTGTAGTGTATATAGTAGTGTAGTGTATACTAGTGTAGTGTGTAGTGTATACTAGTGTAGTGTGTAGTGTATATAGTAGTGTAGTGTATACTAGTGTAGTGTGTAGTGTATATAGTAGTGTAGTGTATACTAGTGTAGTGTGTAGTGTATATAGTAGTGTAGTGTATACTAGTGTAGTGTGTAGTGTATATAGTAGTGTAGTGTATACTAGTGTAGTGTGTAGTGTATATAGTAGTGTAGTGTATACTAGTGTAGTGTGTAGTGTATATAGTAGTGTAGTGTATACTAGTGTAGTGTGTAGTGTATATAGTAGTGTAGTGTATACTAGTGTAGTGTGTAGTGTATATAGTAGTGTAGTGTATACTAGTGTAGTGTGTAGTGTATATAGTAGTGTAGTGTATACTAGTGTAGTGTGTAGTGTATATAGTAGTGTAGTGTATACTAGTGTAGTGTGTAGTGTATATAGTAGTGTAGTGTATACTAGTGTAGTGTGTAGTGTATATAGTAGTGTAGTGTATACTAGTGTAGTGTGTAGTGTATATAGTAGTGTAGTGTATATAGTAGTGTAGTGTATGTAGTGTGTAGTGTGTATACTAGTGTAGTGTAGTGTGTACTAGTGTATACTAGTGTAGTGTGTACTAGTGTATACTAGTGTAGTGTGTAGTGTTGGAGAGTAAACCCACCACAACATTCGTCAATTCGAGTACCTGGTGACACTTCACCGGCAATTACAACGACGACGACAACAACCACAACCGGCATCATCATCAATGCTGCTGCTGCTGCTGGTTGTTGTTGTTGCATTTCGGGAAGCGTCGCAGAGTTCTGTGCGTCTGTGAGGTTTTTCTCGGCGTGGTCTTTCCCCAGCGGACGGGCGAGGAGGGAACGCCCAGAGCGTGGTCCCCAAGAGCGATGCCGAGTGCAGGTAGCCAACACAACTACCACCAACACCAATACCACCGCCACCAATACCAACACCACCACCAATACCAACACCACCAACACTTACACCACCACCAACACCACCGCCACTAACACCACCACCACCAATACCAACACCGTCACCAACACTACCACCACCGCCACCAACACTGCCACCGCCACCAACACCAATACCGCCACCGCCACCAATACCGCCACCGCCACCAACACCGCCACCGCCACCAACACCACCAACACCAACACCACCTACACCTACGCCGCAACCACCACAGCCACCAACACCGCCAACAACGCCGCCGCCACCAACACCGCCACCTCCACCACCACCACCACCACCACGGTGGAGCAGAAACAATCAGAATTTTAGGACCTTGCCCCCCCCCAGATGGATGGCGGCGACGCCATCCATCTGGCTCCTGCACCATCACTCCGCGGTGGCTCGGAGATGTTGACTACCTCGCCTGGCACGCAGGAGGTCGTGGGTTCGACCCCTGACGATGCCTGCCGCTTGATATTTGGAGTTTGCGGCGCCTTCAGAAGCGGCTCCTGTCGATGCGCTTCGTGCGTTCAGTTTGTCAACCTTCACCCGAACCTCCGAATTAGAAACGGTTTGTCTACGAGCGGTGCGGAATAACGAGTTCAACGTACGCGCACGCTCGTGCACTGGGTGCGTGCGTATCGCACTCGCGCGAGGTACGTGCGTCTCACCATCGCCTACTGTCTCCGCTCCCTCCAATGGCTACGGGCGCGGTGTGCTGGCCGGGGGTCGCTACAGCGGCGGCGTGGAGATGACGAAGCTGCAGCACGTGGTGGTGGTGGTGGTGGTGGTGGAGGAGGAGACGTGAGGGGAGAAGGAGGCGATGGTGGTGTAATAAAAGACGGCGTCATTTACTGCTGGTCTCCGCTCGTCTTTTATTCAGGTTCTTCTCCGCACCCCACTGGTCTCCTCCGCGGACCAGCGTCGTCTCCTCTCGCGCGCCCCGCACATACTCCCTCCTCAACTCCGCCACTCATCCTCACGCCCGCTGCTCCTGACAAGGGACCAGTGTCTCCTCTCGCGCGCCCCGCACGCGCTCTCCCGTCAGTCGCTCCGCTCCTCCCCGCTCCGCACACCGCTGGCCGACGGTGTGCCGAAGCCCCCTCAGTCACGTGGCTGATGGGGCGGCGGCCACCCCACGTGGTCCCGCTTCTTCACTCCATCGACTGGCCCCGATCTCTCCCGGGCTCCTCTCTATAACCTCTCTCCCACGTGACCCCGACTCCTCCCCTTCCTGATCGTCACATCCGGCTTTCCCATCCTGCCCTGCTGGCTCCACCCCCGTTCACCTCGCTTCCCATTGGAGCTGCCGAGGTGACGGCGGCCCCTCCCACACGCCCCCCACACCGGGCTCCGCCCCCAACACCCCGGGCCGCGTGATTGGGCCAGAGTCCAGCAGCAACCCCATTGACGCCGCATTACACATGTAACGTCAACTTTTGAAAGTTCACATTTATCACGAATATCACATTCTTGTTTATCTGTCTGCTTGAGAATGTCTTCAAAGTGTTTCGGTCGGAAATATTCCTCCCAGGCCAAGCCCCAGGGACGTCGTCTCCCAGCAAACACGCAGAGACAATACAACTCACGTCACCCCAAGCTTAGTGAGCACGCAACATCAGGGAAGAACAGCACCAACAACAGAGATCTGAGCTGGTCCTGGGCATCCCCTTCACCAACCCGCACTGACCAGCGTGGTGAAGTATGGTCACAACAACCTCCACGACCGACATGGCGAGGCGAGGCCATCACCGTGCAACGTGTCGACAACGGGCTGTGGGGAATGCTGAAAGTAATGCAGTTGCTGCTGGAGTAAGGTGGTGTTTCTG